GGCCGGCGGGGGCAGACGCAAACCACAACAGCATCTGGTGGAAGTGCGCGCCCATGGCTGCGCCTCCGCCGCCACCGCCATTCATCTCCCCTGAGACCTACGGCAACACCTTCCTTGCGACTGGATGCTGCAACGGATCGCCAGTGCCAGCTTCGGGCAGCCCTTTTTGGCAGAAACAAGACGAGCACTATGTTTGGCAAGACATGTTCAACTACTGCTCCTTTGTCAAAGATGGAAACCCCGCGGAAGAGTCGTGCAGTGTCGCGCTCAACGAACGAACGGACTGCGGCTTTATCAACATCACCGAGTCACAGTGCCAAAAGCGAGGCTGCTGCTGGGGGCCCAACCCGGAGGGGCATGATTACTGCTACTTCTCCGGACTGCAGCCTGCCTCACCGCAGGAAGTCGATTTCTGTGGCTGTGGAGCCTCCAAACCGATCAAGTGCATCATGCAGTCTGCCTGGGTCTTTCCCAAGCCGCCTCCCTCTCCGCCGCCACCTCCGCCAATGCCGCCCATGCCGCCCGCTCTCCCCTCTCCGCCTCTGCCGCCGCTCCCTCCGTACCCGCCTGGACCCGCGGTGTGCACTGAGGAGGCGACATCACCGTGCAAGGCAGCCTGCGCTGCCGAGGAGAAGGCGCAGCGGCGTCTGTCCTACTTGGAGGACAAAGCGAAGAGCGCACAGAAGGACGCCGCCACGGCTGCCGGGTGGGCTACCGCTGCCGGTGCGTCTGCCGCCGTCCTGCGCAAGGCCGCGAAGGCCGCGACGTTACATCTAGCGGCGGCTGAAGGAAGAGAAGGCGAGGCACACGCAGAACGCGACCTGCTGTACCGGCAAGCCCAACGGGCTCACGCTCTTGTCAATGAAGCCGCATTGGACGCCGATGCTGCCAACGCCCGCGCGCGTGCGGCATCTGCAAGGGCGACTGCGGCGGCCACAGCAGCGGCTACTGCGAACAGCGAGGCGGCGGCCGCAAGAACTGCCGCGGCTCTGGCCACAGAAACTGCGACGGCCACAGAGGGGGTGGAGGAGGCAGATGCTGGCATCGCTGCCGCTCTGGACGTAGCTGCCGGTGCAGAGCTCGGTCTGGATCCAGCTGCGGACGTTGCCGCTGCCGACGCCGACGCCAACCTTGTTGCTGCGACGGGTGCGATGGGTGCAGCAGTGGCGGCTGAGACATCGGCTGACGATACTTCTCTCGCTCTTACCGCCGACGCAGAGCAGGCGGACCGTGCTGCTGCTTCAAGGCGGATACTGGCCGAATTTGCTCAACGTGTGAGTACAGCCGCAAACGAACGCCTTCGGATCACACAAGAAACCGCCGCGATGGCGGATTCGGCCTATACCTCGGCAGGTGCAGCTAGTCGCCTTGCTGTTGAAGCCGCCGTCAGGGCCGAAGACATGGAAGACTCGGCCGGCTACGCCTTCGCGTCCGCCTCCTTAGGGAGTGCCACTGCCACGGCTTTTGCAGTTGTTGAAGAAACACGCGTGCACTTTGATGACAATGCCATCCGAAGGGCGACGGCCGCAAGGGACTCGGCGTCGGCCGCCGTCGCCAGCAAGTGCGCCCCTCCTTGACCAGAAGCTGGCCCCACAGCACACGACCTGTTCAATAGGGGATCTCTGTGTGCATGTTCATTACCCTACGACCGCACTGCGGGAGCCCAGCACTTGGGATGGAGGCATTAAAAACTTCCCATCGGAGAGATCTCAACGAAGGGGCCGGAGGAGGCTGTTGCAGGCTGCTCCACACACCTCAGCGTGTCCAGCTCCAGGTGAAGAGCAAGAGGAGTCAGGAGAGCCGCTGGCCTTGCGCGTTGCGGCGTGCCTGGGCGGACTAAAACGTACGACATTGAAAACGTACTCGACACATTAATGCAGTACTGTCTACTGACGTATATCAACCAGTTGATGTCTATCACAAAAATCAGGTTCAGCGCTGCGAGCGTCAGAGGCGCTACGCACAACGCATGAAGACTAAAGCGACAAGTTGGGGGCGGAGACAGCCGGGGAACAGGGCTGTGAGAGAGCAAGCCTCAGCGAGAGTCTGAGCGTGCGCGAGCCAGAGATCGCAGATCGCGCCCCGTGGCACGGAGAGGAGGTCGACGGCAAGTTGACGGCAGGTTGACGGCGTTCACGCCTCTTCAGCGCAGCTCTCGATGTCGGCAAGGTTGCTCGCCTGGCTCGCCCGGCGGCGCCGGCCGTAGACGGCGAGCCCAGCCACGGCGGCGAGCGCCAGCGGAGCTGCGACGGCGGCGCGCGCGTTGCTGCTCCAGGGGGCGGGCGCGGATTCGGCGAGGCGGCGACGGCCGCTCCCGCCGAGGCAGTCCTGGGTGCAGTATTGAGCGGGGCAGAAGGAGGGCGTCCAGTTGCAGTTGCGGTCACACCAAGCGTCGGTATAGCCGGAATGAAATCCGGTCGACACGCACTGCCCCCCGCCGGTGCCCGCCGGTGGCGGCGGTGGGGGCG